CTCCTTATAATGACTAAGAACAGAAAAATACTGAAGGTAGCAGAAATAACAGATCTTTTAAAGGGCTATTTTGTGAGACTTTCACAGAAGAAAGAAAGAAAGAACTTAAAATGAGATAACAAACTGTTTACATATATGCTAATATGCGCATCATGTAATGTACTTTGAACTTACCTTATATTTATTATGCCTATTTATATGTCATCATTTAAAAAGATAAAATCAATAAACTAAAGTAATTTGATCCAGAATAGCTAAAACACACAAAACTCTGAAAAGATGACATACTATCACATTAGGCTTCTTCAATATATGGTGCTTCAATCCAGAGAAATCTTTAAAAAGCTTTATAGACCAGGGGAGCTTAGTAAATAAAACACACCACTGAATTCCTTGCCACATATGCCACTGCAGAATGTTCGTAGAGAAAGAGCAAATACGGAAATAGAAAATCCAGAAAATTACAGAGCAGCAAATTCAAGCTGGTTACCAAAATGCAAAAATCTCTAAAATATATGCAACACTGGAATACAAATTGTGAGATTTCTTATTTCACTATTCTATCCAAAAATAATTACAGGTCAAGATCATAATTCAGTTCTTCAAAATAAAATCAAACACCTCCCTACAAATGCAGAGATAACTCTTTAAAGATTTTTATAGCTACAAATGATTGTTTTTCACTTGAAGCACTAAGAAAGAGAATGTCACTACACATTTTCATGTCATTAAGGGGTAAAAAAAAAAAAGAGAGAGAGAGCATTTAAGAAATCTTTAAGCACTGAAAAGGAATTTTTCCAATATTATCCACTGTGCGAATAAATGAGGATTACTAAGTGTATTCGCATTATATACTAGAAATATCTAAGCAGTTGGTTTTAATGTGGTTTATTAGTTTACAAGATTACAGTGTCTACAATTAACCTCAGAAAATAACTTACATAGTTCCTAAAGATGAAAGTTTTTGAGTGAATAGTAAAATATGAGTGATATATTAGGGGTCTTAGAGGAGCAAGAAGAGATTCTGAATATAAACAAGCCATCATTCTGGTAAAAGGAAATACAAACAACTAGAATAAAAATAGTTGATGCACAAAAGCCATAATGAGGGGGTAGCTCAAAAAATAACTTCTACTTTGAATGGTTTGGATGAAATACAAATTATCCACAGAAAAGTGTGGACTGGCATAAATGTTTGTACAAAATTATAAGTGTATTTCAAGAAGTATGCAAGAGGCAACCGCCTGCATGATGCACCAGGTCCCGGCGATGCTCTGCTTAAGTGCTGGTGCACAGAGTCCAAACCACAGCATTTTAATTACCATGCAGCCTCAGATATATTGCCTTTGATATGGAAATGTTCTTGTTCTCTCATCTTCACATATGGTCTCATGCACAGAAATCTTTATCTGATTCATAAAAAATAAACTAGAATCCAATCTCAACACCTGACCTCAGTGCTTAGAAGTTTTATACTAAGCATGGTGTCACTATAAAAAGAATGGCTAATATTGGTGTAAAGTTGGATATTTTGAGCAATGATATGAAGGATTTGCAGTTAGGAACTGAATCAATACTGCTTCTCTGAGGTTTTAGAGTTTCATGTTCCCTTTTTCTGAGACTACCACAGATTCGAGGAAAAACATCCTTTTTTGGAGGTGAGAGATTCTGCTGCAGATTTCAGTGATTCTCCATTTCAAAACCTCCGCTCACGTTCTTCAATTGACATTTTTATCCAAACTATGACAATGGATACTTCAAACTTGAAAGCTTGATCAAAAAACTATGATGCAAATTTTGAACTATTTTCAGTTTGACTAAATGTCCAAACAAAATAATTGGCTTAAACGCTTTTACCCTCTTCCACAGAACCAGGAAAATAGAAACATTCTTCCTATGAGCAAATAATGAATATATAATGAGAGGATTACTCAAGTTTTTGATATAACTCTCACCAAAACAACTAGTTTTCATAGCATAATTGAAAAACTTCAAGCAAAAAGGATATGTTGCACATTAAAATGTGCATACATTTAAGAAAAATTGCTTTTCACATACTCTACCAGAACGTTAGCCTTTTTTGTTTTTTGTTTTTTCTTATTCCACTTGTATATTTTGAGATTCAAGGTATAATCAGTGGAAAATGTGAAACTGGGATAAAAACGTAAAATGTTCTAACTCTCTGTTTTTCTTGTCAGAAAAATAAAGAAATAATAAGGAAGAGCCCTATTTCTCAAGCAAGAAATAATCAAATCTAAAGTTAGTCCTTTTTTTCCCCTAAAAAGTAATGAATATTTGCTCATTTTTTCAGCACATTTCTATAGGAAAATCTGTTCTCATTAAATTTCATATAGCCACATAACTTGATAATTCTGAAACAACCTAGATTAATTTTCAAAAAAAAAAAAGGTACCATGACCCTCTAACCTCTTGACGGGACATAATACATGCCATGTGCAGATGACCTCGCTCTAGGTTATCTGCGTTTTATCATTTCCAGTACCTGTCTGTGCCTGATATGGTACTCTCAGACACATTAGCTTGATGGAATGTTTCACTTAACTTCAAAAACATCAATTGATATATGTATATATATGCTACAAATACATACATGTATCCTTAAACTGCACTTGTATTTAAAAAGCTTTTACACAAACCAAAATTTTAGTTGTACTGCACCATACTTTCATGAAATGCTGTTTGTAGACAGTGAAAAAACATGTGTATTTGCATGTATATATCTATGAATCCTTTCAAATTTCAAAAGAGAGATGTATAACCTAACAAAACTTAAAAGCATATAAAATGTTAGGCTACATTCAATGTATATTGGGTCTTGTTCAAAAGAAAATTAATTCACTTCTATACCTATTACACTGAAAAACAATTATTTAAAATCTCCCTGATTCCTTCAATGTAAGATGGATATATGAAGCAATTTCATCAGTGACCAAAAATTCAAAAATTCCCAAATTAGGTCAAATAGAAAAAGACATAAACCCTAAATAATGCTACCAAAAATTGCCACATATATATTCAGACTAATTATTTTAGAACCTTATAAAAGCAAATTTGCTACTTAACACACTAAATATATGTGCTTCCCTTAAAAAGAATATATCTGTTATTTTCTACTGCTAATGAAAAAAATCTCCAAAGGACAATATGATATTCCTATGGAATCTCATTTCATGTAAATACTCAACGACTAAACCATGAAAGCATTTAAGACACAGGTACTGCACACTGCTTTATTCTTAATAAATTCTATCTATATCTTAAACAGTATACTGTTGAGCAGTATACTTATACAATGCACTGCCATGGGAGTCGCATCAGGCTGCATAACAAAATAAAACTCAAGGTATTCTGCATTTAAAAAAAAAATACATATAACACCAGAAGAAAGTTCCTTCTCATCACTTCTAAAACAACAAATGAATGCCAACAATAAACATGACCAATAGTAATCCAAAAGGCAACCTGATTTCACGACTTTCAGGGAATCAGGTGGAAGAGCACAGGAAAATTAAAAAAAAAAAAAAAAGGCACTAAGTACATGGGAACAGCGAAGGAATCAAAGAGCTGCATCCGGTGACTGGTCTCAAACAGATCTCATGAGTGTGGTGCATGCATGCTTTCAGGGTCTGAAAGATGTTTTTTGGTTGTCTGAACTCCACACCCCCCCCCCAAAGAAGATGGACAATCTCTCTTATGAGGTTTTCCAAGCTGTAGGGACAGAGGGGCGGGAATCTATGTTTTGCCTCCTATTCATATGCTCACATGTGTGATCATGAAAGATCTTTTCAAAAGTGCTTACATAACACACTTATAGGTTGATAGACTGGAGCAGGGTGGGGGGTTGGTGGGGAATCAGTCATAAGTTTTCTCCTTACTATAAGAAAATATTATCCTGGCTCAACAATAACCAAAAAAAAAGCACATTCAACTTCATAAACCACGTTCCCACTTCCCATCAAGAAGGTAAACTCTTGCTACCATAGCAAAGCTAACACTGTCACACTGAACTGGGGGAGGATTTGGGGCATTTGTTTTGAAATAAAGAAGAATCTCCCAGTAGGTATCAGGCGTATCTGAGTGGCCTAAAAGCAAGGGGAGGAGGGTGACTGGAGCAAGTGCCTAATGCTGAGTGTTGAATTCCATGGTGACTGCACAGGGTGACAGAAGGAAGGTCATGTTCACGGCTGCAGGAATCTGGTCTCTGCCAAGAAGTGCGGGCTCAAGCTGACTGCAGGCAAGATCTGGGAGGCGAGGTGGGAGACTCAAGTGCCACTGTGGGCAGAAAGAAGAGGCGAGGAGAGGCGCTGCTCCTAAGAACCCCAGGCCTAACAAGATTGAGCCCAGGAGTAGATCTGTACAGGCTCCCCCACCGTGAGCACCAGCAGCCCCAAGCGGCTAGGCCTGTAGGGGAAACCAGAGCCAGTCATTGCACAGACACCAAGTTGCTGAGAGATCTTTGAGAGGGCAGGCAGGGAGGAGCACAGAGGCAAAAGGAAAACAGCTCAAACTGGGGACCTCAAGTCCCCTCCCAGCCAGGACGCATCACACTGGGGCTGCTCCCAGTGGGTCAGTGCACTGATGGACCCTCCCGCACAGGCCAGCTGCAGAAAACAAGCACACAGCCACATCTCTGCATCTCCTTTGCTCCCATCCAACCTGTGGGCTCTGCCGCTGGTCCCCGATGTCCCTTCTAGCCCCCTAAGCAACAGAAAGAAGGAGAGGAGAGAACGCAGACCAGAGGTAAAGAAAACAGAAAAGAAAAATCTAACACAAAGCTGTGCTGCCTTAGCCTGCCCTGCCAGGGCCCCCAGAGGCTGTCCTGACCAGTTCTTCCGTCCGGGGGGAACCCTGCCCCGCGGCAGAGCTGAGTGCACCAGGTCGGCTAAGCCCGTGCCTGCAGGCCTCGGGACGAGGTGCTGAGTGCGCAGGCTAATTATACATGTGGCATTTGGGCAGCCGACTGTCCAGTGACACCTTACCTTATGAGGAAACGTCAACCCCAGGAACTGTTCAAAACAAAATGCCATCGCGGGATCAGCTTCGCCGGCTCTTGGCCGGTTCAGGACTGCTTTTCCCACAGCCTTTCGCACTTGGCGCAAGAATGCGGCCTGGGGAGGCCAGCCGTGGGCGGGCGGGCCGGCCTCCCGGCCCGGGGTTGGGGGTGTGGGGGGGGACAGGCGGGGCGGGCCTTGCAGGTGTCCGTCCTGTCCCCCCTCGCCACGGACCAGCTCGCCGACCAGACCACTTGACCTTTTTATTCACCAAACCCACCTCCTAGAAATAGAATGGGCGGGGCTGCGTCTGTTCTCCTCGGGACCCGGGGGAAAACCTGGGCATGTGACTATAAAGGGCAGGAGAGAAGAGACCCCAGCGGGCGGGGGAGAGGGGCCCTTCCTCACCCCCCACTCCAGCCGGCCTCGGCTGGCCGGGCCGCCCCCGCCAGGGCCCGAAGTGCGCGCCGGAGGCCAGAGCGGGCCGGGACGTCACCCGAGCGCCCCACTGACCACGCGGCGGGAGTGCCGAGCCAGCTGCCCGTCCTGCCGCGGGGACAGCTCCGGCCACCTCGGGACCGAAACTTTATAAGAGCGGCCCTCACGACAAAGTCGCACGTAAAGCGAAGCGGTCCGGGGCAGCCCTTCTCGCCCCACAGCCCGGCCCCACCAGCACAGTTGCAGGGAAAGAAAAAAAAACTTATTTGCAGTGCCCCCCCCCACGAAAAACAAAATGATGCCGTTCACTATCTGGCAATTCAGACAAAATCAACGTTTTCAAACTTGCTCAGCGTTAGGACAGCGTAAATGAAACTCAAAACACGCCGGTAACAAACCACCTTTTATCTGCTCCCAACACAACACTTTTTTTTTAATCTGAAAGCTCCGTGTAGCGCCGAGGAAACCGCCGAGCACGTGGCTAATCTGTCCCCGCAGCCCCGGGCTCCTGCTGCCGGAGCCCGGGCACCACCCCAGCAGCCTTTGCACAAACCCCTTTCCTTCTCCACCGGCCCTTTAAGGCAGTGAGGAAGCCAGCAGCTCCCCCGGCCTCCGGGCTCCGCGGGGCCCCGGGCGCGCGTCTGCGCCTCCCCCGGCCCCGGGCCGAGCCCCGGAGCAGCCGACCTCGGCCCCGGGCTGCACACCAGGACAGCGGGGTGGCGCGACCCGGGCTGGCAGCCCGGAAGGATGGAGGGACTAGGGCCGAGGAAGAAACGTGTGGAGACCGTGCGCGCCCGGCCCGGGATTCCGGCGCGGAGCCCGCGCAGGACGGGACTGGGCAACCCCTCACTCACGCCCCCACCAGACCGGGCACCCCGCCTACGCGTCCAGGGCGAGGAGGACCACAGACTAACACTCGGGGTTCGGATTTTCTTGGAGTTGGGTTTGTTTATTCCTGAAAAGATCATAAAAAGTCGTGGGGGGGGGGATGGGGCGGGGGACGGGGGCGAAGACCGGCGGGAGCCCCGGACCGAGCTGGAAGCAGCTTGCGCGGTCCGGAGAAAGTTGAGGCTCGGCGAGCCGCGCGCGGGCGGGAGGAGCAGCGCGCGCGTTTTCTAGCCACCCGGGTTTTCCTCGCGAACTCCTCCGAGAAAACTTGGCCCCGCCGAAGGGGGAGGCGGGGATCCCTCAGCTGGGCGTCAAACCCGCGGACAGCCCAAGTTCCCAACCCGAAACGAGGGGTAGGGTCGGGGCAGCGCCGACAAGCCCGGCAGCTCGGCGGGTCCTCCCGACCTCCCACACCCCGAGCCTGGCTGACGCGGGAGCGCTCCGAGCTCCGCGGCGGCGCAGTCACGGGGCCAACCAACCCGACACTTTTCAAGAAAACAAAATAGTCGCGGGGAAACTTACTTTGCATTTAGTCTCTATTCTTTGGGGGGGGGTAGGGGTGGATGCGGTTTAGGTCGGTTCGTAAGCAAAGCCCGTTTTGTCCGGGTTGAATATTGTCTACTTATGCATTCAGCTCCTGGGTGAGGGTTTATTTTAATTTATGGCTTATGCATTCTTTTAAGGTCGATTTACATGACCTCCGGCTACAACTAAGACAGCCGAGGAGGGCACACTCAAGTCGTCAGTCGGCCAAACCCACAATTAAAACAGCCCTCCCCCTGGACTCCGAGTGAGAACTCTTCCCCGGTCGGCCACCAGCCCGCCTTTCCCTTTCTCCACTCCTTCCTCACTGCTCTCCTCCCTCACCCCCGCCCCCACCCATCCACCTTCCTTTCTTTCCTGATGTCTCTTTTTTCTCTCTCTCTCTCTTTTAGTATCACGAAATATGATGCGCTATCGGTTTGAAAGTTTCGGTAGAACTTTCTTGCAGCCCCCAGCCTGCAGCGCTGAGGAGCCGCGCGGCGCTCACAAAGCCCTCGGGATGTTGCCCCCTTGTGGGCGAAGGGGGCACTGCCGCCGAGCGGTCCCCGCGGAGATCCGGAGGGAGGGCGGGCGAGGGGAGCGCTACACACGCAGCCACACAAAGTTCCTCCATCACACTTGCGCGAACTTCAATGAAACACCTACCTCGGAACTTCACGGAGACTTAACAATTCATTCTTTAAGGCCACCTGACTTCTTTTTTTCATATCATTCCCCGGTTTTAGACATTACGAGTATCTGTGCGGGAAGGCGGAGGAGGAGTGAGGAGGTGGGCCGAGAGGGCAGACAGATTTCCGGACAAACACTTAGGATGGCGATAACAGCTCCCTGTTGTCAAGGGTGGCGTTGTCTGTCTCTGCCTGCCCTTTTGCCTTGGTGTCCTACGCACAGTTATCTACAGCTACAACAACATGTGTTTCCCCGGAGCGCGTGAGTGGAGGGGGGGCAGAGAACCCGAAGCCCGCCACGCAGATCTGTCACCGCCTCCGGAACCGGGCGCACAACTCCCGGCGCGGGGCCGCGTCCCGGGGAGTGCGCGTCCGCCGGCGCACGCTGGGGCCGCGGGCCGGCGCTCCCCCTCGGCCGCCGAGCGCCCTCCTCCCGCTCCTCCTCCTCTCCCCTCCCCGGCCCAGCACGGAAGCCCGCCCCGGCCCTGCCCGCGCCCTCGCCTCGGGTCCCCGCGTCCGACCGCGGCCCCTCAGTCCCAGTGCGGGGAGACTAACACTGGCGCTGCCCGCAAGGGCAGGAGCGGAAGGCGCCGGCCCCCCGCGCCTCGGCCCCGGCTCCCGCCGCTCCCCAACAGGTAGCTCACACTCGGGCCGTGCGCTCGCTCTGCCTCCCTCGCTCTCTCGCTCGCTCCGTCCGGGTTACCTGGGCGGGCTCCGGGATGGTATCGCACGGGAGGGCTCCTTGTGCGCTGCGCCGCGGGAGTAAATGGCATTAAAGAAAAAGGAAAAGACACAAGTAATAATAATAATTAAAAAAAAAATGTTTAAAGGCAGGGGAGCTGAGGCTAGGTCAGTGAGCACAGCCCGGGGAGCCAGGGCGCAGAACCCTCCCGCGCCGCGGCCGGCGAGCCCGTTAACTCTAGTCCGCGGGGGTGTCCCGCCCCGGGCGGGGGCCGCGCAGAGCGGCAGAAGTTTGCCCCTGGGGTGCCGGGTGCGCGCGGAGCGGGGTAACTAGGGGCTTCCCCCCCAAACAAGTGAAGGCGATGGTTAGTGCTGTCAATCTTGGCAATCAGTGTGAGCGGCCATGTCGTAAGTATTCAAAGCATTTCCCGTCGTGCAACATCAGAAAGTGAGTGGCCAGGGCATTGATCTGAGCGAGGGAGAGGAGGCAGGGCTCCCCTCCCAGACAACACAGGCAAGATGAGACAAGAGGCGAGGGAGGCAGCGAGCCAGGCGGGAGGCTGGGAGGGAGGGGGAGGGCCGGGGAAGGGGAAGGAGGGGAGAGCGGAGGCAGAGGCGAGGAGAGCCGCACACCGAGTGCTGGCGGAGAACGGCAAGCTGAGGGGACTGCAGGAAGCTCCGGACAGAGAGCAAAGTGCCTACTAGGAGAAACTAAAAGGGACCGAGAAGTGGGAGCCTCAGGGTCAGAGGGGAAAGAGAACAAGGAATTGGTGGATAGGAGGCAGCCCGTCGGAGGCAAGGACCTCCGGGCTGCTGGGGGGAGTTCGGAGAAGGTAGGCATCCTGGAAGGAAAGCAGCAGCGAGCTGGGAGAGAGAAGTGAGGAGCAGTAGAGACGGTGGCCTGTGCTTTGGAAAAGTTGGGTGACAGAAGGAGGCGCGGGCTGAATGTGGAGGAGTCCAGTAGGGTCGAACCGGACCTAAGAAGTGAGCCAAGGAAGCACAGACGGGAAGGGACAGGGCTTTGAAGCAGACCAGGCATAAGGGAGAAGTAGTGGAAAGAGACAAAGGAACAAGTTCCAGAAGCAGAGATAGTGAGATCACACCAGTTAGTAGGATCTCAATAAACGGAGCAAAAGAAAGCATCTTACAGATGGAGGAGGAACTGGGGGAAAGCCTAGCATACAGAGGTGGCGGTGCTCCAAAGGCCAAGGGATTACGGCGCTTATGGGTTAACGGTATTATAAACAGCAAGAGGTAGAGGCTACCAAAGAAAAACTGCTACACCTTTACAATAACAAATAATATAGTTCCACGGGTATTATCGGGAAAGTCTGTTGCACAACGTGTGTGTGTAACCTCAGCTTCTCAACTTTCTGGAGGAAAAGATTTGGAAAAACGATTTCAAGAGGTATTGTCATGGTATTGTCATGGCGGTTGTTGAAGGTAAAAAGGACTTTCAGTCACCCAGGATAGCAAATAAAAATCCATAAGCCATACGTAAAAAAAAATTATGACAGTAAAAGACCCCCCAAACCTACATAAATTAAAGATTCTCTTTGACTCATATAAAGGGTAGATTAAAGATTTGAAGGGTTTGGAATAACCTAAAGCAGCAAAGACCTGGAAAATTATCTCAATGCAAAGAAAAATAAAAGAAGACTAGCAGAGGAGAAATTAACCATGGTGTCAGGTACCAGGGTGCAGGATACATGCAGCTGACGGGAAAACCAGCTTGGAGGGCCAGTGCTCACCACGTGCAGTTGGTTTGCCTTGCCCAAGGCCCAAAGGAACACACTCCATTTGTGAGCCCGAGGTCAGGCGCGCAGTCAGACCACCTCATGAGGAAACATTGGGAGGGGCTCCCTATGGCCAGCCTGATTTGCAAAGGTTTATGAAGGTGCCCTCCATGCACAAACTGGTTCAAAAAAAAAAAAAAAAAGATAGTCACTTTGAGACACCTC